TGCTGTTGTAACTGAGTGGTCACTAAATGAACTGTTGTAAGTCAAGGCTTACCTGTAGAGGAATTCAAATGCAGTGTTAAAGGGCTAGCTATCAAAGTATTGCGTCACACGTGGGTCTTAGAATTTAGAATTAGATACTAAGTCATGAAGACAGTCTAAGCCAGCAGTCTAAGAATGAGAGGATCAGAAGGGACCTTAGAGATCGTGTGGTCCAACCGACTCCCAAGGCAGGTGTTCTCATGCCATCTCAGGCAAATGGTTATCTAATCTTATCTTGAAATTAAGCACCCACAATTCCAAGATGCAAGCAGTTCCACACAGTGTTGTGATCCTCCATTGTTTCTCCCTCTTCCTATATTGTCCAGTAAGGAATACCTGGGTGGGAGAATTTGCAAACTGGAAGCTCAAAACCACTCAGCTTCCAAGTTTAAAAGAAAAAAATGTTGTGCTCCACAAATGGAATACAGGTAATCCTCTCCTTAGGACCACAATTGAGCCCAAAATTTCTGTTGCTAAACAAGACAGTCTTAAGTGAGGATTTCCCCGTTTTATGTCCTTGCCAGAGTTAAGTGAGTCACACGGTCATTATGTGAATCTGGCTTCCCCATAGATTTTGCTTGTCAGAAGGTTACAGAGGGGGAAATCACATGACCCAGGGACACTGCAACCGTCATAAATACGAGTCGTGCCAGGCATCTGAATTTTAGTCACGTAACCATGGGACACTGCAACAGTTGTATGAAAAACAGTCTCACTTTTTTCCCACACCATTGTAACTTTAAATGGTCACTAAATGAACTGTTGTAAGTCGAGGACTGCCTATAGTTGCCAAGACAAATGCAGTGAAGGATTGGCAAGAAAATTGGCTTTCCCCCCCAGATGTTCTGGGTTAGAAATGAAGGCTTCTTCCATTGGTTGAATTAAATCTCTCCCTGTATAATAGTAGACTATAAGGCTACTTTAGGCTGAAAAAATATTTGTGCAACTGAGGCCTTATTTCTATTGATCTTTCTCTTCAAAACACTTTCCCTTTCAAAACACTTTCCCTTCAAGTATCATAGATCTCCACCTCTCTTTGATATTTTTGTAGTGGATCTGGCTAGGGAAGAACACTCATCCGTCTTAAAACTCACACCTATCTGTATTCTGTTAATTGCAGTGGTGAAAAAAAACACACCCAGGGTTTTTTATACTATGCTCTATGGCCATCCGTAAATAAGATAGATGCTTGTTTTCTGACATCTCGGGAATTGGGTAGGCTGCAGTGGTTTTGCCTGAGTAGCTCAATTAACACAGAGCAATCTCTACGAAAACGCAATTCCCTCTGTGAACCCTGAGAGAAATCCCCAGAGCATAGCTTGGGATATTGATCCTGAAGTCAAGGTTAGCCCAGAATGTGCCAGCCGCTTGCTGGGTTGAGCACCTGACAGTGTGTTGATTCCAAGCAATGAGCCACTGCATTAGCTATCCACTAACTAATGGACCAAATTTTCAAAGGTTTATGAATGACAAATCCAATCCTGCTTGCTGAGTTAAATTTAATAACTTGGTTTTATCTGCTGACAATATTGCTTATCCCAGCTGGACTGTATGAGGATCTATAACAGCATGGAGCTTAGGAGCCAGACCTGCAGAAGAGGAAAAAAATAATAGAATAATGTAATCCTTGGGTGCTCTCTGAGCTTGGTTGTTTTCTTGCACCCAACTTTTGTGACCCAACTATGGAACATCATCAGTGCTAGAAGGGAGTGGGGTTTGCAGAGAGGAGGATTTTGGAGTCCTCAGTGCTCTCTGAGATTGGTTGCTTTCTTGCAGACATTTCATTGCCACACTAGGTAATGTCATCAGTGCTATAAGGGAGTGGTGTTCTAGTTTCTAGCACTGATGATGTTATCTAGTTTGGTCATTAACCGTCTGCAAGAAAGGAATCAAGCTCAGCCCCAAGGACCCCACAGTTGTCCTCCTCCTCTTCCTTCACTCTGCAAATCACACTTCCTTCTACCACTGAAGGAAGTGCTAGTGGGGTAATGAAATGTCTGTAAGAAAACCACCCAGCTCAGAGAGCACCAAGGACCCCACAGTCGTCCTCGTCTTCCACCCTGCAAACCACACTCCCTTCTAGCAGTGATGATATTACCTACCTAGCTGGGTTATGAAATGTCAGCAAGAAGAGCACCGAGGACCCCCCCAGTTCAATCCTGAGTTGCAAAGATTTGCTTCCAATTAATGGCTCTTGTGTCCTTCAAAAGGGCATGGAATGGTTGAAAAGAGACGTTTCTGGTCTTGGAACGAAAGAGTTTGAGGCATCTGGCTTAGTACTGGAGGATGGGTGCGGTGGAAGTGGTCCCTGATGGGTTTCGAAAGAATATTGAGGGGAAAGACCTCTCACTGGCTGTGGAGCCAGATTCTGGAAATAGAGGTTAAAGTGAGCTCCAGCCAAAAGGGAAGCAGCAAAATGTATTTTTCCCCCCCTCTACATTACCCCAGCTTAGGGTGGTGTAGCAGGGACGGGAAGGAAATAGCAGTCTGTGTTATATAGCAGGGAAGCACTTATGTCTTTTCAGAAGTAGTTCCTCAAATGACTCCCTTGGAAATTAACGCCGTAATGACAGGGTACGCTAAGTACTGAGCTAAATATACTTTTGTAGACCTAATTAATTTATAATAGCATAAATACGGTGCTTGGAAAGGTTTTTCTGGCTAAATATTGCAGCTGCCCAGTTATAAACAATGGGGAATTGCTCTTCACAGCTCAGGTGAAAACTTCCTTGATAGTTGGCGATCTTTTGACATGGATAAAATACTGATTTATTGTTCTGTGATTCCTGTTCCCAGGTAGTCATAATTTGTATTCCCAAATCATCTTTCTAACATTTCATTGTTCGTCAAAAACTTGGAAAGAGCATACAAACGTCCTGTGCTGTTAGTTTCAAACCACAAGATGGGTGGCATATAAATTTAATAAATGAAATAAATGTTATACAGGCAATCTTCGACTTAACAACAGTTCAGTTAGGGACCGTTCAAAGTTACAACAGGACAGAAAAATGGCAGCGTCCCCATGGTCACGTGATCAAAATTCAGACGCTCGGCAACTGACTCATATTTATAACGGCTGCATTGTCCCAGAGTTATGTGACCTTCTGATGAGCAAAGTCAACGGATTCGCTTAACTGTGTTACTCACTTAGCTACAGTGCTTCACTTAACAACTGGGCCAAGAAAGGTTGTAAAATGAGGCAAAATTCATTTAACAATGGTCTCGCTTAGCAACAGAAATTTTGGGCTCCTTACGGTCGTAAGTCGAAGACTGCCTATATTAAGACTAGTGTCATGTGCTTCTCTGAAGAATTGGCTGCCTTTCTTTCTGCCAGGAGTAGAAACTGGCTATCGACAACTTGCTTATTATTATGTCAGGAGAATCACGGGGAGAATCCCAGGAGCATTGTTAGCTAGGCACCTGATGGTGCTTGGGCTCTAGAACTATGAGCAGCCTTCTTTGAGAGAATCATACTGGTCAAACTGGATTCTGCCAACTTAGAATTGGACTTGGTTCCCTCAGAGAGGGAAAATGCATGCATGGTACGATGGAGGTTATTTTTATTAAGAAAAAATTCATATAATCATCTTGATTCATTCTACTGTTAAAAATGTTCCTAGCATAGTTTGTTCTAATTAAGTATGATTATTGTTGAATAGCATTATGCCACAATCGGTGGTGATTTGTCCTAGCTAATGGCTTTCTCATTTAAGGAACAGGAGAAATCTTGACATTTTATTCTCCTGTTTCTGTGTTGAAGACCTTTCCTTTCCTTTCCTTCCTTTCCCTCCCCTCTCCCTCCGTTCTCTTTCAGTGACTGTTTTTTCACCTTTTTACTGTAGTTTCATAGAACATGTGATCATTATAATAATTGTATATTGGAGCAAATGGCCTATCTCCTGCCAAAGGTTTTTTACCCTATGATGTAAATACCTGTTGCTCTCTTTGTGTATACATGGCAATTTAATCTGTCTAAATACTGTCTTCTAAGCTGCTGTTTACATGCTCAGCTTCTGTTTTGAATGTCTGTTGCCACAAACTGACTACAGCTAGTATTTGACTTAAAACCAGGGTGGATAAAAAATCAATGATTTTTTTAAAAAATTTTAAAAAAATCAGATTTTTTTAATTTAAATCGGATTTTTTTTATTAAATTTATTTTAATAATATGCTTTGGGAGTAAAAATCTATCTAAAGATAGTTTTCTATTTAAGATACTGATTTAGTTTAATCAGCATGAAATGGACCTTAGTTATGTAGCATGAGGCTGTATATTCTGCAATATTGGGACTGTTGGTGAGTCAACAGCGGGTCAGAGGGGGAGCCGCTGCCAGAAAAGAGATGTCAGCTGCTCTTTAAAAATTATGATTTAAATCTAGTTGATTTAAATCAAGCCTTTTTACTAGTGATTTAAATCATGATTTAAATTGTGATTTAAATCAACTTGATTTAAATCAAATCCACCCTGCTTAAAACTACAATTGCCCCCCAATATTTCTGTTGTTAAGCAAGGCTGTTCTTAAGTGATTTTTGCCCATTTTACAACCTTTCTTGAAACAATTGTTAAGTGAATCACTGTAGTTGTTAAGTTAGTCATACAGTTGTTAAGTGAATCTCGCTTTCCCATGGACTTTGCTTGTCAGAAGGTTGCAAAAGGGGATTGTGTGACTTTGGGGACACTGCCACGGTCATAAATATGTCAATTGCCAAGTGTCCGAATTTTGATCACGTGACCAGAGGGATGCTGCAACAGTTGTGTGAAATATGCTCATAAGTTGCTTTTTTCAATGCCGTCGTAACTTCGAACGGTCACTAAAATGGTTGTAAATCGTGGACTATCTGTACAAATGTTTACATGAGAAATAAATCCCCCTCATTTCACGAGGGCCACTAATGTATACTTTTGGGGCTAGCTATGATCACAACATTTTACTGAGCTAATGAATCCCTTTGTCTTCCAGATTTTCTTGGCCAGTGGGTGAACGACATCCTCAAACATGGGAAATATTTTTGCCAACCTTTTCAAAGGCCTCTTCGGCAAAAAAGAAATGCGTATACTTATGGTCGGACTGGATGCCGCAGGAAAAACTACCATATTGTACAAGCTTAAACTCGGGGAAATAGTAACTACCATCCCTACTATAGGTAAGAATTTAAGATTCTCTTAATTCCAGTTAAGTCTGGGTTTAAAATAAAATTACTGTATATGGGTATATTTTGCACAACTCTGGATAAAAATGAAGATTAGCTTGTCCAGGTTGCTCATTTCGGTGATGAACAATAACCAAGATCATGAGCCTTAATTAATTCAAGATCTTACTTCTGCGCTGCATTTTTGGATTTGCTTGAACTAAAGGAAACTGCATTATGGACATACTGTGTGCAGGTAGTCCTCGACTTATAGCTACAGTTAAGCCCAAAATTTCTGTTGCTAAGTGAGACATTTATTAAGTGAGTTTTGCCCCATTTTACGACCTTTCCTTCCACAGTTGTCAAGTGAATTGCTTAAGTATGTTAAGTCACATGATTGTTAAGTGAATCTTGTTTCCCATTGACGTTGCTGGTCACAAGGCCACAAAAGGGAATCACATGGCCCCCAAGATGCTGCAACCATCATATAATATGAGTCAGTTGCCAAGGGTCTGAATTTTGATCTTGTGACCATGGGGATGCTACAACGGTCGTAAGGGTGAAAAACTGTCATGTTAGTTTTTTTCAGTGCCGTTGTAATTTCCAACGGTCACTAAATGAGGACTACCTGTATTATTTTTCAAGTGTGTAAAATAAAAAGGCATGATCTTAAAACCTTTTTTCTATTTAGTCTTCACAGTATCACTGTTGAAGTTTAGAGCTGTTTTTTTTTTAAAAAAAAAACTGTAGGAACACACTCATTCATTTGTTCTTGTTCAGTTTCTGAGAACTGGACACAAAACTGAACAGAAGAAAGTATAGATATATTTAAAAACTACACATATACTGTGAAATTTTATAGAACTCTGATTGGAGGGTACCTTGGAGATCCTCATTTTAGTGACCTTGGAAAGATGGAAGGCTGAGTTAACCTCGAGCTGGTCAGGATCAAACTGCCGAACTGTGGCAGCTGGCAGAAGTAACCTGCAGTACTGCACTCTAACCACTGCACCACCACAGGCATAGGTGCAAGGAAGGTGCATCTATGCCTGCAGGAGATAAGCTGTGCCACTGATGGTGATTCTACATCTCCTGGTGATTGACCCAAAGTCACCCAGCCTGCTTTCACAGTTAAAGCAGGACTAGAACTCACCGTCTCCTGGTGATTGGGCCAAAGTTACCCAGCTGGCTTTGCGCTTTGGCAGGACTAGAACTCATGGTCACTTGGTTTCTACTCTGGTGCCTCAAACATTACACCAAATTGGCTCTCAGCTTTTTAAATATCACTTTATAAAACATCTATGCAGAGGGAAAGGTTAGGTTTTTCTTTCTAATATTGCAATACTTGCTTATGAGGAGACTATGCGATTGACATCACCTTAAATCAGTACGTGTATCTTTTGCCTATTAACTGAGCACATTCTCTCTCACTTATTCCTGTTTAGGTTTTAATGTAGAAACAGTAGAATACAAGAATATTAGCTTCACGGTGTGGGATGTCGGCGGACAGGATAAGATCAGACCACTCTGGCGCCATTATTTCCAAAATACACAAGGTGAGTTGTTTGCGTTCTGTGTCTTATCTCTTTAATCTGCATCAGCATTAAATTGCTCCAGAATTGCATCGACAGCACCAAGAAATCTTTTATACTGCATGAATCAAATGGAAATGTTGTGGAGGACACAGGCAGTCCTCGACTTACAACAGTTAATTTAGTGACCATTAATCCTACAGTGTTTTTGCTAAAGTAGCTGGAATGGAAAGAGGCTTGCAGATCCTTCCATTCCAGACAATATCTCAGGGGCTGCCACAAAGAAGAGGGAGTCAAGCTATTCTCCAAAGCACCTGAAGGCAGGACAAGAAGCAATGGGTGGAAACTAATCAAGGAGAGAAGCAATCTGGAATTAAAGAGAAATTTCCCTAAATTTTATAGCTAATAACCTATAGCTATAGGTTATAGCTAACCTTATAATCTAATCTTATAACCTATAGCTATAGGATATAGCTAAACGTCTGTAGAGATTCTCAGTCATCCAGGTCATGATTGTCCCAAAGGTGTTTTTTCAAGAGGCAACTGGACTTTCTGGTTTTTTTCTTTTGAAGACGTTTCACTTCTCATCCAAGAACATCTTCAAACAAAAACCAGAAAGTCCAGTTGCCACTTGAAAAAGCTCCTTTGGGATTCCTGACAGTGAGAACAATTAATCAGTGGAACAACTTCTCTCCAGAAGTTGCGAGTGTTTCAACACTGAAAGTATTTAAGAAGAGATTGGACAGCCATATGTCTGAAATGATACAAGGTTTCCTGCCTGAACAGTGGGTTGGACTAGAAGACCTCCAAGGTCCTTTCCAACTTCATTTGGCAACTGGTTATTCAGTTTGCCAATTTTAAAAATGGTGGACTTCAATTCCCAGAATCCCCCAGCAAGCTAGGTTTTCTGGGGAGTTCTGGGAGGTAAAGTCCAACCATCTCAAAGCTGACACGGTCAAGGAACAGTGCAGTTCTGCTTTGTTGTTAGGAGCCCTGTATTCCATCCCCGAAGTTGCCAAAACAAATGGGTGAAAGGCTTTGGCTCCTTGGCTGCCAGATTCACATAGCCTGTTAAAATATAAATGTGGATTAACAAAATACATGATTTAGCATAATACCCAGAAAACGTGAGCCATAGACCAGGGGAAAGACTAATCCACAATTCTGCCTTTGCCCTGATCTTAGGCGATCCTTTGTGCTTGGCACACCAGCAGCCTTTGCTTCATCTGGTTTGCCTCTTCCAGAGATGAAACCCTGATCTTTTGCTAAATCAAAGGGGAAAAAAATAGAGCATTGTTCATTTGGTGTTAAGAATGGGAGATTAAATGCAGTGTTACTGTTACCTTGCAGTGTTTATGATCTGTTTCATCTTCTCATCTGAGTGTAATTGATAGTTATGCAAAAAAAAAAAAAAATCCTTTCTTCCTTCCCTCTTTCTCTGTCCTTCCCTTCTCTCTCCTTTGTTCCTCCTTTCCTTTTCCTTTCTCTTCCACCTTCCCTCCCTCTTCCCTCTCTTCCTTCCCCTCTTTCTTTCTATCTCTCTCTCTCTCTCTTCTTCCTCCTACCTTCTCTCTCTGCCTCCCTCCTTTCCTTCCTTGTCTCTCCCCCCGCCCCACCCATGTCCCTCATTCCCATGGTCACACACAGCCCCTTTCAGGGTGACCTTTTAATCACTCTACCAGCAGGTTAACCACATCAGCATGTTGCTGATAGAAAATTGATGTGTAGTAATGTGGGATAAATGCAAACAACAGTGGGGGATGGGCTGTTTTCTCCTGCATTGTGAAACTGTTTATACACAAACTGTTGGTCTTAATTGCCTTGTGTACAATCCCCTTAGCCAGAACCTTTTTATTGATTTGTTTGTCCAATTTGGGAACCGTCCATCTCTTTAAGTTCATTGACAATATTTTGTCTCTTCTCCTTCATCCGGTTTCCAGCTTTGTCTAAAAAATGTCCTGCTTCTCTTTCTGTATATTCGTTTCCCAAAGTCTGTAATTCTCTTGAGTGAGAATTGCAGCACGTTAAATTTTTGAAGCCGACTGGGAAGATCAGTCTCTGCGGTGTGTGGTTCACTTGAAACAGTAAATTACACCCTTGCATAGTTTACTGCCTTTACTCTCTCGTGTGACTAGTTTTGAAATCCAGCAATCAAAGAAAATTGGATTAAGGTACATGTGATTGTGGATGCTATTTACAAACACCCAGAAGTCAATTTCGTATTGCTTGAAGCCTAATGTGGCAGGGTGTTTCTCTCCCTGTGTGTGTATATCTACCAGGACTTAGATGATAAAAATAATATTTTTTCCCTCTGAATGGAGAGAAATCCCCCCCATCCCTTCCATTAGTTAGTTTTGAACAAACACCCTAAAGTATTGTTCCTCAAACTTGCTTATTTTAAGATGTGTGGACCTCTGGATTCTGCATCCATCATTCTGGCTGAGGAATTCTGGGAATTGAAGTCCAGCCTACTTTATACAGGTGGTGGTCAACTTACAGCCATTTGTTTAGTGACCATTCAAAGTTACAACAGCAGTGAAAAAAGTGACTTTAAATTTTTTCACACTTAACAACTGGTACAGTGCCCCCAGGGTCACATGATCAAAATTTGGACGCTTGGCAACTGACTCGTATTTATGACTGTTGCAGTGTCCCGGGGTCATGTGATCCCTTTTGGGACCTTATGACAAGCAAAGTCAATGGGGGAAGCCAGATTCACTTAACAACTAATTTACCAACTGCATTGATTCGTTTTACAACTATGGCAAGAAAAGTCGTAAGATGGGGCAATGGAAATGTTGGGCTCAATGGTGTCCGTGAGTCAGGACCACCTGCAACATGAAGGTAAATGGACTTCAACTCCCGGAATTCCCTGAGAATCCAATTCATGCTTTTTTTCTCCTCATCTTCCTCCTCCAAAATCTAGGCAAATCTGGGCATTTAACTCCACGTTCCTGAAAGTGGACAGGGTTGAGAAACGCAGTTCTAGATGGCTGTTTGCTAGAATCCTTGGCAGGTTCTTATTTAACAATTGCTGTTTCCCTTCAGGCTTGATCTTTGTGGTCGATAGCAACGACAGAGAGCGAGTCAACGAAGCCAGAGAAGAGCTTATGAGGATGTTGGCGGAAGACGAGCTCAGAGATGCTGTCCTTTTAGTGTTCGCTAACAAACAGGTAGGTGGGAAGAGATGACCCCGAGGGAACCGCTCTTCGTACTTGAATGCGACGAACGGTTGCAGGAACTGGGGAATGGCCAGTCTGGAGAAAAGAAGGACTAGGGGGGACAGGACAGCAGTCTCCCAGTATTTGAGGGGCTGCCACAGAGAAGAAGAGAGGGGTCCCCCTATTCTCCAAAGCATCTGAGGCCAGGAGAAGAAGCAGTGGGTGGAAACTAATCAAGGAGAGAAACAACCTAGAACTAAAGAAATATTTCCTGAACGTTATAGTTAAATGTCTATGGAGATTCTCAGTCATCCCGGTCATGGTTGTCCCAAAGGTGCTTTTTCAAAAGGCAGCTGGATTTCTTTGTTTTCCTTGAAGACAATTCACTTCTCATCCAAGAATGTCTTCAAGGACAATTAACCAGTGGAACGGCTCCCCTCCAGGAGTTGTGGGTGCCCCATCTCTGGAGGCTTTTAAGAGGAGACCGGACATTTGTCTGAAACGATATAAAGTCTGCCTGAGCAGGAGGTTCGACTAGAAGACCTCCAAGGTCTCTTCCACTTCTGACATTCTGCTACTACAAACCTTCCTCCTTGTTGCCCAGTCTTATTTTATAAATCTCCCTGACCGCTTGCTTTGTTCCTCACCTTACAACCTTCATTTAGGGACCATTTTAAATTACAATGGCACTGAAAAAAGTGACTTAGCCTGTTTTTCACACTTGTGACCATTGCAGCGTCCCATTAGTAACATGATTGAAATTCGGACGCTTGGCAACTGACTCACATTTATGACAGTCGCAGAGTCCTGGGAGTCACGTGATCCCCTTTTGTGACCTTCTGACGAGCAAAATCAATGGGGAAGCCAGAATCACTTAATCACCATGTGACTAACTGAACAACTGTGACAAGACAGTTTGTAAAATGGGGCGAAACTTACCTAACGAATATCTCGCTTAGCAATATCAATTTTGGGCTCAATTGTAGTCATAAGTTGGGGACTGCTGGGGGGGGGGGTTTGGCAAGTTTGAAAAATGGGCCTTTTTTCCGGGGGGGGTGGGGGGGGGGAAACGCCTTTTCTAAAGCCAGTTGCTTCCCTTTCCAGGACCTGCCGAACGCCATGAATGCTGCAGAAATCACAGACAAACTAGGATTGCATTCTCTCCGCCACAGAAACTGGTACATCCAGGCCACCTGTGCCACCAGTGGGGACGGTCTCTATGAAGGACTGGACTGGTTGTCCAATCAGCTCCGAAACCAGAAATGAAGCCCTGAATTAATCCTTTTTTCTCCCCCCATCTCCCTTCCCTTCCTCTCCCCCCTCTCCCTCTCCCTCCTCTTCCTCCTCGCTTTACTCTAATGTGGCAAACCATGCTACTTTGTAGTAATGAGTGCCGGAAACTGTTTTCATCATCTCTTCTCGTCCACAGGATTGTCCACCACTACCACCACGCTGTACATGTGGCAAAACTACGCCCGAAAAGGAAAAAAAAAACAGTTTTAGCTTTTTATTTTCTTATTTAATGTAAATAGTTCTTGTTTTTCCCACGAGGCAGTTTCTGGTACTCCTATGCAATATTATTCGGCTCTTTTTAAAGTGATAAAAAGGTTTTTAAAAAGAAACCCCACCCAACAACTTTGAGTGGATTCAGGAAAAAAAAAATGGTTGCCAGGAATCTGGTTTTGTTTGTGTCGTGTGTGCGTGTGCGGGCTAGATCCAAACAAGATCCCTCTGGCCTTGCAGATCTGGTCTGAGGCCTGATTTCTGGAGCCCTGTTCTTAAGCCTGGGGACGAGTTTCTTTTCAGAAGACGAGGCTGGTGGGAAGGAGGGCGGAAGGACTTGAATCCAGGACCCTTTGCAGTTTCTGCAACGACGTGAAGAGAATAGCCACAAGTTCCCCTTGTTCCAGGTCATAAAATTAGCCTCAGTCTCCTTCAAGCTCTTGGCCTTTCCCAAGAATTAGAGCCAACTCAGTGGAGATTGCAGATTAACGAGAAATTGGGACAACCCCCCACTGCCCCGTACTCTTTTAACTGCCCCTTAGATTTGGATTTTTTTTTAAAAAAAATATTTTTTACCCTCCAACCTACAAGTGCCATCTTCATCTTCCCCTCATCTTTGCTTGGGGAGCTCATAGCTCCTTCGAATGAATTCCTTGAATTTCTCCAGCCTAGAATGATTTCCAAAGACAGTCCTCTTGCACGAACGTCACAGCAGCAGCCACAAGTACTCTACTTAAATAAGAAATGTCACACGAGCTTTTCCGTTGTCGCATCCGGGAAAGGGAGGGGTGGGTGGGAATATCGAAAACACAAAAGAGTTTGATAATCTGGCGCCTTCCATTCTTAGAGACGTGTCTAGATTCCCTTTTCGGAAGGCAAGAGATGCCCTTTTTACATTTCTCATACTGCAAGGTTTGAGATTTGCCATCCCAGATTTTAACTTTTAATTTTTGTTTCGTTTTTTTTCTTTTTGTATTTTGATAATAAAAAAAAAAAACACTGAAGAAGCTGGAGCTGTTGCGACTCGAGAAAAACACGATCAGAACCGGTTTGTTTAGTGTTGTGGACAAGAAAAAAAAACTCTCTTGTTTCCTTTCAATACAGTAATCGACTGTTTTGTATACTTGTTTTCAGTTATCATTTCAACAAACGAGCACTGTAATTAAAGCTATTAGAATAAAAATCTCTTAACTATTCCCCCGAGGTGTGTGCGGTTTGGCTTGTTCTCTCGGGCTCAGATCCGGCCCACAGGATTTAATACCGAGTAAAACGTCGGCTAATTTGGTTCATGGGTGGAAGTTTTGCCTAGGAGGTTTTTAAGAAGAGATTGGGCAACTCTGTCTGGAATGGTTTAGGGCAGTGATGGAGAACCTTTTTGGCACCGAGTGTCCCAACCAGAACATGTATGTATGTGTGCATGTGTGTGGTGAACTCAGAAGACCAGCTGGCTGGTGAGCATGTATGTGCTGGCCACCTGGTCTTTTGGTTTCCGGTGCGCACACATGCGCCAGCCAGTTTGTCTTCGTGCATGCCGGAGCGCTGGAATGCGTGTGCCAGAAACCAGGAGAGCAGCTGGCGATGGCACGTGTGCCCACAGAGGGCTCTGCCTGCCAGAGGTTCACCATCACGGGTATAGGGGCTCCTGCTTGAGCAGGGGGTTGGACTAGAAGACCTCCAAGGTCCCTTCCGACTGTTCTTATTTTATTATGGTCCTCAAGCTGCCCCGCATGTTCTCTCGTAGGGATGCTGGAGGGCATTGCCATTAAGTAAAGTGAGGCATTAAGAGAGAGGGGATCTAGGTGTCCTAGTTGATCACCATTTAAGTATGGGCCTGCAGTGTGATGGGAGCTGCCAAAAAGGCCAACACCATCCTGGGCTGCATTAATCAAGATCACGTGAAGAGTTAATCCCACTTTATAAGGCCTTGGTAATAAGGCCACACTTGGAATCCTGCATTCAGTTTTGGTCGTCGCAATACAAAAAGGATGTGGAGACTCCGGAAAGAGTGCAGAGAAGAGCAACAAAGACGATTAGGGGACTAGAGGATAAAACACAACAGTTGCTAGAACTGGGTATGTCTAGTTTAATGGGGGGAAAAGGACCGGGGGTGTCATGATAGCAGCCTTCCAATATTTTGAGTGGCTGCCCCAAAGAAGAGGCGGGGGGGGTTTCCACCTCTTCTCCAAAGGCAAGACAAGAAGCAACCGACGGAGACTAATCAAGGAGGGAAGCAACCTAGAATTAAGGAGAAATTTCCTGACAGAACAATTAACCAGTGGAACCACTTGCCTCCAGAAGTTGCCATCCCCAGAGGTTTTTAAGAAAAGATTGGACAGCCGTTTGTGCAGGATGCTGTATGGCAGCAGGGGTGTTTTGCGTTGCCATGCGGCGTATTGCAAATCCTCCCACCCCCCTTTGCTAAAGCAGGGTGGGCATGGCCAGCATGTAATGCAACTGGCTCACAGGTTGTGAGTTTTGACACCCCTGGTGTAGGTTCTCTTGCTTGAGCAGAGGGTTGGACTAGAACAGTGATGGCGAACCTATGGCATGTGTGCCACAGGTGGCACACGGAGCCATATCTGTGGGCACGCAAGGGTTGCCCTAGCTCAGCTCCAGCACACATGCATGCGCCAGCCAGCTGATTTTTGGGCCTTCCGGGCCCACCAGAAGTTGGGAAACGGGCCATTTCTGGCCTCCGGATGGTGTCGGGGGAGCGTGGGGCAGGCTGTTTTGCCCTCCCCAGGCTCCTAGAAAGCCTCTGGAGCTTGAGGAGAGAGAAAAATGGGCCTTCCGGTCCCACTAGAAGTCAGGAAACGGGCCATTTCTGGCCTGCAGAGGGCCTCCGGGGTGGATGGGGAAGCCAGTTTTCGCCCTCCCCAGGCTCCTAGAAAGGCTCTGGAGCCTGGGGAGAGCGAAAAAACCAGCTTACTGGACCCACCATGCCATCACGTGCCAAAAGCGGGGTGGAGTGGGGGGGGTTGCAAGCATACATGGGGGGCATTGAATTATGTTCTGAGTGCTGGGTGAAATGAGACATTGGCTGCATCTACTTCTAATCATTCCCATTGGTTGCAACGCAGAAGGGTTGATTCTCAACTACAAATCGTCCTCTACAAGCATAATTGTGTCTGGAATTACGGTCATAAATTGAAGCACCGGACGGGACCAGAAGTAATTTTCTGGCCTTTTTCTTGGTTAAGGAAACCCATTTATTTTAATGGGTATGTTGGGGTGTTTTTGTTTTTTATTATTACCAAAACTAGTTTAAAAAAAACAACGTAAATTGCAGTCACACAAGCACAAAACACCACAACTGGTCATGAAGCTCGGCCCGACATGCGATCAGGTTCCTGGGGAGGCAGCCGCCCAAGTGATATGACAGCTGGGGGTGCTTTAAACTCATCTGACAGTTGCAAAACAACCTTCGGCTGAAGAGGGAAAGGCCTTGATTTTGTTCTCCAGACAAACTTGTGTCTCCTCCGAATATCAGAGAGCATGTGGACTAGAAACTTGGAAACTGAGGTTCTGTTCCCAGCTTGTCCACGGAAGCTCCTTCTGTAACTGGGTCAAGCCCAAGGGTCAAGCTGCCTCCCCACAATAATGGGGAGGGTCCCAGAGGATTTGAGGCTGGGTGACACTGGATAAGTCACAACCACTGCTCTATTTAACAATTACAATTCTATCCTTAATCAGGCCTATAAGCACCAGTGATCTCTTTGGCAGGAGATGCTCCCTAACCAGATGCTTTTTACCTGTCGAACACCTCCTGCCACCAATCATTAATTTTTAATTAGATATGCAAATTTATAAGAAGACTTTGCAGATTAAATGATTGGCAGGAAGCCGGAATCTCATTGGAAGAACAAAAAAAGGAATATATCAAAACTTGTTTTTTTTTCCCCCTCTGCTACTCACTTGCAACTATAAAAATAGAAATTCTCATTAGCATGATGGATAAATAGCCCTTAAAATGCCCCTGGCATGAAAAAAAATAACTTCTGGGCCAGAGTATCACCAGTGGGTTGGGCTAGAAGACCTCTAGGGTCCCTTCCAAACCCTATTCTATGTACTAAAATGAAATCTGAAGTAGTTTTCCTTTGTAGAAACACCCATTTTACTAAACAGAAGAGAAATTAATCTCCTGGTGGGCTTAGCAGGCATGTGTTTTCATCCGCAGTTCTCTGCATGTAAATGGTATCAATTGTGAATTGACAACATCTGCCTGCAATTGACTAAGCCATGATTTAACCATGGTTGTGGAGTCCTTGGTGGTTTTCGTGCAGATGTTTTCATCTCTACATGCAGAATTTTCCACGGTACATCAACTGTGAATCTTCCCTGAATATGGTATTTTTATAATCTTATATCTGTGGCTAAATTCAGCTCTCCCAGCAGCTTCCTAGTTTATTTATTCTGAATTTCCAGAATCCTCAGTTAAGATCATTGGTTACAACAATTTAGAGGATCATAATTCATTGAGTTTTCAAAGGGACTGGAAAATTGGTGCTTCAGAGTTCTCTCTCCAGACATATAAATCAATTTCCAAATCAATTTAAAAAGCATATTTTAAACCTTTACAGCAGTGTTTCTCAACCTTGGTGACTTTTAAGAAGTGTCAACTTCAACTCCCAGAATTCCCAAGTACTATGAAAGAAAGAAAGAGATAGCAAGGGAGGGAGGGAGGGGGAAAGAAAAGAGGTGGGGAGGGGAGAGAAAGAAACAAAGAAAAACAGAAATTTTATTTATGTATTTATTTATTAAATTTATATTAAATTTTATTTATTTATTTATTAAATTTATATTAAATTTTATTTATTTATTTATTAAATTTATAAAGAAAGAAAGAAAGAAAGAAGGAACGAGGGATGGAGGGAGGGGAGAGGAAGGAAGAAAGAGACAGAAAGGAGGGGGGAGGGGAGAGAAAAAGAAAAAAGAAGGGGAGAGAAAGGAAGCACAAAAAGAAGGAAGGAAGGAAGTGAGAGAAAGAAAAAAAAGAAAAGAGTAAGTGGAGGGCTAGAAAGAAAGGGAGAGAGAGAGAGAGAGAAAGGAAGAAAAGGAAGGTAGGGATGGAGGGAGAAGGACAGAAAGTTAGATAGAAAGCAAAAGAAAAGGAAGGAAGGAAGGGAGAAGGAAGAAAGACAAAGAAAGAAAGAAGGAAGGAGGGATGGAGGGAGGGGAGAGGAAGGAAGAGAAAGAGGCAGAAATGAGGGGGGAGGGGAGAGAAAAAGGAAAAAAGAAGGGGAGAGAAAGGAAGCACAAAAAGAAGGAAGGAAGTGAGAGAACGAAAAAAAGAAAAGAGTAAGTGGAGGGCTAGAAAGAAAGGAAGGGGGGAGAGAGAAAAAGGAAGAAAAGGAAGGTAGGGATGGAAGGAGAAGGGCAGAAAGGTAGATAGAAAGCAAAAGAAAAGGAAGGGAGGGAGAGAGAAGGAAGAAAGGCAAAGAAAGAAAGAAGGAAGGAGGGAAGGGGATCCAACTGTTTTAGTACAAAGATAATCATACAGCAAACTCAAAAGTTTAAATTAATAATCAATTATTTAAAATACATTAAATTACTAATAACCAACATTCTGAAAAACAAACACTCATAATATATTCTTCCCTTAATTTTAATCTAATCAATGATCAAATATGAATGACTGTCTATTTAAAAAAACACACACAATATTTTTCTAGCCACTTCCAATCCATACTCCTCAAATCTCATGGTCAAAAGTTGATTTTTCCAATTTCCTTTCCAGCTGTGGGGTTTTTTTATCCTGTATTTGATTCTCGGCTGCCCCCTACTGGATCTGCCCAATTTTCAATATCTTTCTTTGGCCAGTTTTTTCTCCAAAATTTGGTTCTGTTGTGGTCAATTTTTGAACAACTATTGTGAGGATAAAGCCTCTGACTCCTTTGTATACAAGTAGTCCTTGATTTATGGCCACAACTGTGCCCAAAATTTACGTTGCTAGGATAGGAAGCCTGTTCCTAATTCCTGGCCAAAGAAATGGATATTTCTAGCATAAATTCCACATTTTTGTGTTTGTAACCACTTAGGAACGATGCCAATTCTGTTGTTTTTGGCAGCATCCTCTGCCTGTGTGTGGCTTGGTTTTGTTCTTTTACGACACCCCAATTTCACAATTTTCTGCCTTCCCCCTGTTTTTTTGGAGGGGAGTAGGAGAGGGACTGCCCTCTCCTGGGGGCTTATAACCCTCAACTTTGTTCATAAAGCATCTTTTCTCACGGGATTCCCCCCACTTAACACGTAGGTGAGAAGTTCCACTCTTCCCACCAACTTTGTTATGTAAGGAGGTTATTGGGGGGTCCTTGGGCCCCACTTCCTCTCCTTGCTCCCCCTCCCCGCCCCTTACAGCAGGAAGCTCGGGCACCAGCCAGCTCTGAAGCACCAAGTAGAGAAATATGCTTTATAAAAAAAAGACCTCAATTGCACGGATTTATGGCCCAGCCAGCATCCTCTCGTAAAGCAATTTGTTGAGTGGAAAGCATCCTCCGAAGTGCTGGACCGAAGCAGGACAGACATATATAACAATTTTCTTGCAATTAAAAGCAAGAGCAAAACTCTCCCTAAGTGATACGTCTCTGCTTTCCCAGTTAAAAAAAAATCTTTTCTGAGTTTATTTTCCTTTTTGTTTTTATTCTTTCTTTCTTTCCTGTTTTTTTTCTTTTCTTTCTCTTCCTTCCTTTTTTCCTTTCCTTCCTCCCTTCGCCTTTCTTTTTTCTTTCCTTTTTCATCCTTTCCTTCCTTTTTCTTTCCTTGTTTTTCTCTTCCTTTTCTTTCGTCCATCCTTTCCTTCCTTTTTTCCTTTCCTTTCTTCTTCCTCCTTTCCTTCCTTCTTCTTTTTCATCCTTTTTCCTTCCTTCCTTCCTTCTTTCCTTTTTTCTTTCATCCTTTCTTTTCCTTTCCTTCTTTTTCCTATTTTTTTCTCTCTTCCTTTTTTCTTTCATCCTTCCTTCTTTTTCTTTTTCTTCCTTCTTTTCTCTTTTCCTTCATTTAATTTCTATATGTTGCTTTTATGGCCACCTGTTATTTCCCCCACTTCTCCATGCATCCATTTGGTTCCCCCCCCTCACCGTGGATTTTATCCTCAGGTTTATTTCACTTATTGATCAATTAAATTTAGGTGTCACTTATCTCACCTTGACGTGACTCAGGATGGCTCCCCGAATTTTAAAAGAGATGAGATAAAACAAGAAGATGAAAAGACTTATGGCGTTTGGTGTGGAAAATTAAAACTTCTCCAAAACCTTCATTAAAAAAGAGATTAAAATGTTATTTGAAATTAAAATTTGTGTTCAAATTAACTGAGATCTAGATGAAGTTCTTGGTTAATCTGAACACAAATTTTAATTTTGAATTAATAATTTTAATTAAAGGGAGCAATGATCCTATTTTTTTGGTTTTTCTCCTGTTTTTGGGAAGCGAATTCAAACGGGATCTATCTAACCTGATGCAATTATCTCAGAAAATCTGAAAAAACATCTATAATACCAAATATGTCTGAGGTTAAGGTTTTTACAGGTAGTCCTCGACTTAAGACCACAATTGAGTCCAATATTTCCATCGTTAAGCACGACAGTTGTTAAATTTGTCCCATTTTATCTTTTTTGCCACACTTGTTGAGCAAATCATGGCCGTTGTACAGTTAGTCACATGGTTATTAAGTGAATCTGGCTTGTCAGAAGGTCACAAAAAGTGATCACATGACCCTGGGACACTGCCACCGTCATAAATATGAACCAGATGGCAATCATGGGACTACAGGGATGTTGCAACATAAGTGTAAAAAACAGTCATGAGTCACTTTTTTCAGTGCCGTTATAACTGTGGTCCCCAAATAAATAGTTGTTAAATCAAGGATTATCTGTAGATTAATAACTCTAGCCTGCAATATTTCAGGGAACCAGAAGAGGGTAGCAAAAAGATACAAAAAAAAAAAGAAATCCCTCCTTTTTTTCAAAAACCCTTTGCTGCCATCTAGTGGTCATCTGCAACCAAGATCTGATATTATGCCTAATACTTTTATCACAGTAGTAGTCCTCAATTTACTGCCACAATTAAGTTATAAAGGGGTTGATCTCAAAATCCAACCTCTCCTCCACCCTACCCCGCACCTCCTTATTCTCTCCCTTCTGTACAGGAAACCATTATAGAATATTTTTTTATATATAAGCTTTTTCTGAAGAGGGGAGCTACCACTGAGACGGTCCTGCTATGGAGACATTGCAGATCAAAACTTTGGAGAACTGCTTGTTCTATCCAATACTTTTTAAGATGGGTGGACTTCAACTTCCAAAATTACCCAGCCACACACCTTGTCTGGAGAATTCTGGGAGTTGAAGTCCACCCCTATTAAACCATGCTAGCCAAGGAATTCTGGGAATTGGAGTCCACCCTTCTTAAAGCATGCCAGCTGGGGAATTCTGAGGAGTCCATTTTTAGGGATGCTGGCTAAGGAATTCTGGGAGTTGAAGTCCATCCATCTTAAAGTTGCCAAGATTAACTCTGCTCTAGAGGACTCAAATTGTGTGTTGTTTGCCCAAGTCATCTTCTCTTAGCAAATAAAACCACAGCAGAAAAAGGAAGAAGAGGATAAAGTTGTGTCTGAATTACTAATGTGGTAAAGGTAAAGGTAAAGGTTCCCCTTGCATATATGTACTAATCGTTCCCACCTCTAGGGAGCGGTACTCATCTCCGTTTCAAAGCCGAAGAGCCAGCGCTGTCCGAAGACGTCTCCATGGTCATGTGGTCGGCATGACTCAATGCCAAAGGCGCACGGAACGCTGTTACCTTCCCACCAAAGGTGGTCCCTATTTTTCTACCTGCATTTTTTAACGTGCTTTCGAACTGCTAGGTTGGCAGAAGCTGGGACAAGTAAAACGGGAGCTCACCCCGTTACGCGGCATTAGGGACTCGAACCGCTGAACTGCCGACCTTTCGATCGACAAGCTCAGCGTCTTAGCCACTGAGCCACCATGTCCCCATGTGGTAACATGTGGCTAACCAATGTGTTACTCACACAAAATATGAGAGGGCATCACAACAGATAGGCCACAAAATACAGCTAAATGAATGAGGATCAAGGCTGTGTGTCAATGCCCCAAAATGGATACACCTAGTCAATTACCTACAATTAGCAACCCATAAGAACTGTTAGCCATCTGTTGCCATCCGTTTTCTCCCAGGAAGTGCCAAGATGCCAGTCCTCATGAAGGTAGCACATTCTCTCCTAACGTGGCACTCCAAATGCCTTCAGGGTGGGAATGATCAGTAACACCTTTGTGCATATTGACAAGGGACATGTACAGGTAGTCCTTGACTTATGACCACAATGAAGCCCAAAATTTCCATTGTTGAGTGAGTCAAGTGAGTTTTGCCCCCATTTTACCACCTTTGTCACAGTTGTTAAGTGAATCCCTGCAGTTAACTTAGTCACACGGTTGTTAAGTGAGTCTAGCTTTCCCCATTGAAAAAAGGAGATCCTGTGATCCTGGGACACTGTGACCATCATAAATATGAGCCAGCTGCCAAGCATCTGAATTTTGATTATGTGACCAGGGAGATGCTGCAACGATTGTTAAGTATAAAAAACGATCATGTCACATTTTTTAGTGACGTTGTCACTTAGAGTGGCCACTAAAAGAATGGTTGTAAGTAGAGGATTCCCTGAAGTTAAATTCTCTTTGAATTCTGAGGATGGTTGAGGTCCCCCTTTCAAAGGGATTTGAATTTGTGAATTGCAGAGGAGTTTGAATTTGTACGTTGCATAAGGGTTTGCAATTTGAAAATGGAAATTTTTGCAATTTGTAATTTTTAAATTTCAAAGGGGTTTGTCATTTGTAAATTTCAACGGGGTTTGAATTTGTAAACTGCAAAAGAGTTCAGAATTTGTAAACTGCAAAGGGATTCGTAACTGTTAAAATTGCAAAAAGAAGTTGTTTTAAAATTGGCAGTAATGCAGCCTGCTGGAAAAACGTAAGCCAAGATTGAAAATTAAATACATTTATCCTTTGCCATGTGTTTTCGTAACCCTCTGCCTACTTCTTCTGGAGTTGGCATAATTCCCCAAAATTCCTGGATCTAAGAGAAATTGCAGGGCAGAATATAATTTTAGCTTGGAAGACACATCAGCGGCCGACACCTTTAAGTCTTTTCAAGAGAGATGAAGTTGCTGAACTGATCCCAATGATTCAATTTAATGACAATATCTGTAATCAATCTGCTTTTTAATTACAAGATCCGAGGTTGCTTCTGAAATCGGCTGACGGTCGCAACTACATACACACACTCCAAAAAAAAATCCCAACAACCCCATAAACTGTTTCTACTCCTTGCTTTGGCCTGATGGAGGTTCAGAAGCAGATTTTTTGCAATCTGAAAGTAACTCCTGTTACCTGGGATGTATCTGATCTCCAAATTCTATTGCTTTAAAAAAAATTAAATTCTATGCGACCCATCAGACTTTATCAACTTTGGGAGGAAAAACCAAAAAAAAAACTCTGGTAATTCCGTATTTTGCACCTGGCATTTGTAAACTATTGTCTTGCTCTGACCAGGTTAGCATGGCTAAATTTTATGTCCGTTAAAGGACAGGATACTTTTGAAACAAAAATAATTATTATTTTTGAGCAGCGGTGTCGATGGATGGGATGGGGTGAGATGGGCAAATCAACGTCCCATCTAGAAAAAGGATGCAGAATTTTGCACCAAACCAGAATCCGTTTCCGCTTAACTGTCAAAGTAACGACATGATGGGTAAATCTGGGTTTGTTTTATAAGGATGTATTAATTGTCTGAATCCGTGTCATGCCTCTTCTTGGCCGGGAGGTATGGTACAGATTCATCCCATGTCCGTTTCCGGGACTCTGAGGTTTTGTCTTCTCTGGAAACCGGGAACTTTCTATGACTTCGGTGTCGGTGGTCGTCCCTTTTTGGCTTGGAGGGAGGCGTCGAAGTTCTTTCGCGATGATACCGGTCGGAGGATTGGTGCGCTGCTCGGGCCGGGGACGATGGTCTATCATCCCGGCTAGGATCCAGAGAAGGTTTCTTTTTCCTGTGAATAGGAACAAGGCAAAGTCAGGTCACGCGATTTGCAGACAAGACGCCAGCCCTTCAAGGTAGAACGAGCTAGAAGATCAATATCATGGCGGCTTTTATTATAAAAGTTACTCAGGTAGTCCTCGACTTACGACCATAATTGAAACAGGGGTGAAATCTAATTACCTTCCTTACCAGTTTGGAAGTGCCTGCGCGTGCACAGAAGGTAAAAAACCATTAAAACCAGGAAGTAATGACACCCAGGCGGCGATCGCTACTGGATCGCCAAACCACAGGGAAAAATCGCTACTGGATCAGGTGATCCGGTCCGATCTGGGAGCACTTCACCCCTGAACTGAACCCAATCTCAGACAGGATGCCAGCCCTTCGAGGAGGCCAGATCAGACTGGGAAAATCATGTCATGGAGGCTAATGCGATTTTTATTATAAAGTTAGATTCCTCAACTTATGACCACACTGTTAAGTGAGTCATTTGATAAGTGAGTTGTTTTTTTTTTAATTTGATTTATATGCCGTCCTTCTCCGGAGACTCAGGGTGGCTTATAATGCGTTAAGCAATAGCCTTCATCCTTTTGTATATTTTATACAAAGTCAGCTTATTGCCCCCACAAACTGGGTCCTCATTTCACCTACCTTAGAAAGGATGGAAGGCCGAGTCAACCTTGTTTTGCCCCATTGTAACACCTTTCTTGCCACATATGTTAAGTGGATCACTGCAGATGTTAAGTTAGTAACACAGTCATTAAGTGAACCTGACTTCCCCAATGATTTTGCTTGCCAGGTCGCAAAAGGGGATCACGTGATCTCCTGGCACACTGCAACGGTCATAAACACGAGTCAGTTGCCAATTTTGATCACATGACCATGTGAAAAGTTGTGCAGAACAGTCATGAGCCACTTTTTTCAGGGCCGTCGTAACTTCAAACGGTCACTGAACGAACTGCTGTGTTATCCTGATTTGCCACTGCTTACTTAATTAGAAGAGTTTGGTGAAAATTAAGTTTCAATAGGCTAGGAACGTCACTTCAAAAAGGGAATGCAGTCAGTGTTAAATGCGAGTTCTACTCCTGTTGAAAGAGGGAACTCTTAACACCCCCCCCCCCGCAAATCTAAACTTTTAATTTCAACAAGATGCAGAAAAGATTTCTGAACAAAAAGGCTGTTCACAAATGCCACCCCCTCACCCCAGTGCTGAATATTTAAAATGCATTCGCTAAGGTAACTAAGTTAAAGGCAAAACATTAGTTACATCTATCAGCCCTACAAGATAAGACCAGATTTAGGAAATATACACCCTGTAGGCCTAAAGCTATTAGAACAGTTCTAGTAATAGGATCTTGCAAATCTGAACTCCCCAGCCAGCATGCTTTAAGGTGAGTGGGCTTCAACTTCCAGAATTCCCCAGCCCACAGCCTCAAATGATACCTTTTCTCGTTATCCGGAGTAAGGTTGTTTGATGATGAAGACCTTCTCTTCTTCTGGTCTTTCTCTTTCTCCTTTCCTTTCTTTTCTTTCTTTTCTTTCTTCTGTTTCTTTTTCTCCTTTTTCTTCTTCTTGTCCTTCTCTTTTTTCGACTTCTTGACGGACTTGCTCCTGCCAGATAAATCAAGGATGACCTCTTTCCTACCGTTTTGTGTTCCACCCCAAATATCCCCAATTAGCGCCAAAACGTTGCCCCCCCCAAATGGGGCATGGCTCATGTAGGTCACCAACAATGATATGGTACGGGTAGTCCTCAACTTATGACCACAATGGAGCCTCAAATTTATGTGGCCAAGCAAAAGAGTTCTTAAGTTGTGTTTTGCCCCATTTTGCGACCTTCCTTGCCAAGATTGATCAGTGAATCATTGCATGTGTTACATTAGTAACATGGCTGTTGCGTGAATCTGGGTTCCCCATTGATTACGTGACCACGGGACACAGCAATCGTCTTACGTACGTGTCAGTTGCTATGTCTCTGAATGAAAAACGGTCATAATATTACCGTTGTAACTTTGAACGGTCCCCTAAGGATGCTGTTGTAAGTCAAGGACTGTGGCTCAATAAAATTAAATTAAAATTAAATGATAAAAATCAAGAGGGTGACTTACTCCAGTGTCTTGCTTTCCTCATCCAGCTTCTTCGGAGGAGATGAGGGTTTGGCAGCCTTTGCTACTGGTTGATGCTGAAATTTCCGAGAGAAAACGGAAACAGATCAAAAAATCTCGGACGGGCAGTTAGGAAAGCAGAAAAATAACAACATTGGATGTGCCACAATGCTGTGCGGCCCCACAACTTACCGTAAACACGGATAGGCCCAGCTTGGCAGCTTCTCTGTCTTCCTTGGAAAACACCATTCTTCCGCCAGCATTCCTAACAAAAGTTAAAACGGAATTAAACAGCAAGTAGGGCTTAATTTTTGCTTTTGCCTTTTTTTTTTTTCCCTTTCTGTCCTGAAAGGAAAATTTTGTTTTCCTGAAATAAAACCCTCAGCCCTGCTCAGAGGGTGCCGAAACGGGACATATTTTTGGAAAGAAAGAGCCGTTGTCAAGAGCTACACAAAATTTGTCCTGATTTACAACGTACAGGTATCGTCCTTGGCCTAAAACCCTTCGTTTAGTGTCCGTTCGAAGTTACAATGGCCCTGAAAAAAAAGTGATTTAGGATCGGTTCCTCGCACTTATGACCATCATAGAATTTCCCACCTACCCCTCTCCGGTCAAATAATCAAAATTTTGACATTTGGCAACTGGCTCACATGATGATTATAATGTCCCCGAAATCTTTCATGACCATCGTAGTTGGCAGTGGAATCTCGCCTATTTCTTTCATCCTACGCCAGCATTTCTCAATTTTCAGCAACTTTAAGACATATGGACTTCAACTCCCACAATTCCTCAGACTGGTGGCTCCTCCCAGGAGAAGATAGATCTAGGTGGTCACCAGGAGTTGACACCAACTTGATGGCCCGTAATCAATCAAGAGTGCCTTGGGAGACCGATTACGCTCTACATAAGAGTCTTGGTGGCGCAGCAGACTAAAAGCACTGTTAAGTAACACCAGCTGCCTGCAATTACTGCAAGTTCAAATCTCACCAGGCTCAAGGTTGACTCAGCCTTCCATCCTTTCGAGGTAGGTAAAATGAGGACCCGGATTGTGAGGGCAATAAGCTGACTTTGTATAAAAAAGAACACCGCTTGGGGGGGGGGGCGAAAGCCCTACTAAGTAGGTATATACGAAAGTATGAAGGCTATTGCTTAACGCATTGTAAGCTGCCCTGAGTCTCCAGAGAAGGGCGGCATATAAATCGAACAAATAAATAAATAAATAAATGACAGATAGATAGATAGATAGATAGATAGATAGATAGATAGATAGATAGATAGATAAATAAATCCCCCACCTATATGTATGTGAGTTAAGGAGGTATCTGAATTGCTTGCGCAAGCCTTACTCTTGTTTTGGACATCAGCTATCTCAGAATATCTCAGAATAACAGAGTCGGAAGGCATCTCGGAGATCTTCTAGACCAGGGGTGTCGAACTCAAGGCCCGTGGACTGGATCCAGCCTGCAGGGTGCTTAGATCTGGCCCCTGGAAATAGCCAAGGACCGGCCTGCAGTGCCTCTGCCAGTGAAAATGGATATGGTCCTCCCGAGCTCCCTTTTCCTTGGCAGAGAGTTGCAGGAGGCCGTCGCAGCTGAAAACGGAGCCCGGGAGTCTGTTTTTGCTGGTAGAGTGGTCAGGCCACCACAGGTGCCCCCAACACGAGTGATGTCGAGTTGGCCATGCCCTCCCTGCCCCCCCGAGGTCAGACCCAACCTGATGTGGCTTCAATGGAGTTTGACACCCGTTCTAGAGTCTAGTCCCACTGCGTGATGGGCCGGTGGGCCCGGTAGGCCCATTTTTCACCCTCCCCAGGCTCCAGAGCCTTTCTAGGACCTTGGGGAGGGCAAAAACGGCTCCCCCTGCCCCTGGAGGCCTGAAATGATCCGTTTGCTGACTTCCGTTCTCACTGGAGCTGGGCTCGCGTGCCCACCAATATGGCTACGCGTGCCACCTGTGGCACGCATGTCATGGGTTCGCCATCATGGGTCTAGTCCAACCCTCTGCTCAAAAGCAATGCTGTATCCTCAAAAACCTGCAGACTGCTCAAAAACTATGTTTTGCCTCCCCTTATTGGTCTATCTAGGGTAATGGATCCGGCCTATCAACCTTAGCAGTGGAAAGACATCTGAACTTCAACTCCCAGAATTCCCCAGCCAACGGAGTGGAGAATTCTGGGGGTTGAAGTCCACACACGTCAAAGTTGGTGAGGGGTGAGACACAGTGGTCTACATCAGCCTGGCTTTGGATCCTAGAGGGCAGGACTGTCTCAAACTTTCTTGGGCTGAGTAGAACCAGGTTCCTGGTCCAGCGGCTTCACCACTAGCCCACGCTGTCTCGAACCGCTTACCGTGAGCTGCCCAACCCCATGAGGCGATCCACACTCTTCTCATCAGCTTCTCCTTCGTTGCGTTTGCAGACTTCGGCGAGCTCCTGGGGAACAATTACAGACAGGCATGAGGCCACTAAGCCGCTATATATGATGACAGGTAGTCCTCAACTTACAACCAGTTCGTTTAGTGACCGAAGTTACAACAGCATTGAAAAAAGTTACTTGTGACCGTTTCTCACACTTACGACCGTTGTGGCATCCCTATGGTCACGTGGTCGAAATTCGGACGCTTGGCAACTGACTCATATTTATGACCGTTGCTGTGTCCCGGAGTTACGTGATCCTCTTTTGTGACCTTCCGACAAGCAAAATCAATGGGGAAGCCAGATTCGCTTAACAATCATGTTACTCACTTAACAACTGTGGTAAGGAGGTCGTAAAATGGGGCAAAATTCACTTAACTAAAGTCTCAGCAACTGCGGTCGTAAGTCGAGGAATACCTGTACCATCTTAAAAGCAGCATTTGCAATTTTTTTCCTTGGGCCAAAGTGACGGCCTTCTTTCTATCCATGTCAAAACACTGAACATAAAAAAGAAGAAATCCAAGCAGATCCAATTCTGATCCTCTTATTAAAACCGAATTACTTTGAAATTAATAATTGACTTCTGAGGAAACTGCCAAGTGAAGTAATTCACGGCCTTATCTTATGCTGTTGCTGTTTACTATGAAACCTGGGGTACCATGCACTAAAATCACGTTTAAGAAGAGACTGGACAGCCATTTGTTTGAAATCGTATAGGGCAGTGACGGCTAACCTTTTTGCTGTCGCGTGCCAAAAATGGGGGGGAGTGCGGGGGATTTGCGGGCAGGCGTGCCCACCCCCATAATTCAATGCACCCCACATATGCGTGCGTGACTTCCTCGCTCCCCCAGCTTTTGGCAAGTGATGGAACAGTGGGCCCGTTTCTCACCCTCCCCAGGCTCCAGAGGCTTTCTAGGAGCCTGGGGAGGGCAAACACTGCCTTCCCAACGCCCCCGGAGGCTGGAAATAGCCCGTTTCCCAACATCCGGTGGGCCTGGAAGGGCTGAAAATCAGGTGGCCGGCGCACGCATGCGTGTTGTAGCTCAGCTAGGGCAATGTGAAGTTTCCGAAAGATGCCCTAATTAATTTCATGGGCCATGAGCCGAACTTCAAAAGAAATACAGTCATTTATTAGGAGCACCATTTCGGCAATATTCGGATACAGTTACTAATCCCACATAGATTTACGTTCCCCTATGACCCTGTCTCTCCCCTCCTCCCTGGCCATGTCATAAATCACATTCTCCAATTCACCACTTTGGCTGGCTGTGACATCCAACACCCTCCTTCTGATTGCGGTCAGGAAGAATGTATGGAATGCAGCTTCAGTTAGGGAAATCAATCAGCTCTATCAGTTCTCCCTCCCTCCTGCTCATGGCAACTTGAAAGCTTTGCAAGTTGACAGGCAACGCTTGTGTGCCCACAGATACAGCTCCGCGTGCCACCTGAGGCACGCGTGCCATAGGTTCGCCATCACGGGTATAGGGTTTCCTGCTCGAGCAGAAGACCTCCAGAGTCCCTTCCAACTCTGCTATCCTGTTATTTTAAAAATCGATAAAATACCTCTTTACTCAGTCCCGTCGGCTGCTTTTTCACGTTCTTGTAACCTCTGCAAAGTTGACAAAACAAAGGACAACACAGTAACGGGTGAAATTATCATCAGAGAGAGATCCAACTTGGAATTAAGGAGAAATTTCCTGACGGCCCCCTCTGCCTCTATACTGGGCTAATTCTCCAAATCCCAGAACCCGGAAGGTTATAGGAAAAACTGAAAAGAAATGCAGGGTTTTATTCGTGGGTATCGTTTTTTCCTGAGCTTGGTGCTTTTCTTGCAGACATTTCATTATCCAAATAGATAAAGCCATTGAGTGCTAGAAGGGAGGGGGGTTTGTAAGGAGGAAGAGGAGGAGGATGTGGGAGACATCTTACAACCCAACTAGAGAACTTCATCAGTGCAAGGAAGAGGAGGAGGAGAAAAAGGATTGTTTGGTTCCTTTTTTTGTTTGTTTGTTTGAAAAATATTTTTGGTTCCTGATACTCTTTGGGCTTGCTCGTTTTCTTCAAGACATTTAATGACCAAACTAGGTAATATCATCAGAATATTGATGTTGCCTAGAAGCTAGAATCCCTCCCTTCTTCTAGCACTGATGTTGTTACCAAGCTGGGCCACGAAACATCTGCATGAAAACCACCAAACTCAGAGAACACCAGGGACCCCTCACTTCAAACCTGAGCCACAAATATTCTCCTTTCTCAGTAGTACCATTTCTTCCCTCCAGGCAAATCTCCCTGAAGGCTTGCTGGCTACTTCATCCATACCCACTCCTTCCCATTTTCTCATCTCTCTAGAGCTGAAGACTTCTTCCAAAGCTTAGGTGAAGACCAAGGACCGCCATCAGATCAGGGGTGAAATGCAACCGGTTCGCTCCGGTTTGGAGTAAAAAAAAAATGTAAGTAAAATAATGGTTCTGACGATCACAGCTGTGCCGCGTGATCGTTGGAACCTTTTAAAAAACTTTTTAAAAGCATTTTTTTTACTACCGGTTTGGGCGAATAGGTGGTAAAAAATGCTTTAAAAAGTAAGAAAAAAAAAGTTGACCATGCCCACCCAGTCACATGACTCCAAGCCAGGGTGGATAAAAATCAATGATTTCTTTAAAAAAAAAATCAAAAAAATCAGATTTTTTTAATTTAAATCAGATTTTTTTTATTTAAATCGGATTTTTTTTTATTTTTATCGAATTTATTTTAATGAAAAACTTTTGGGGTAAAAATCTATCGTAAGGTAGTTTTCTATTTAAGATACATAAATAATTTAGTTTATTCAGCATGAAATGGAGCTTAGTTATGTAGCAGGAGGCTGTATATTCTGCAACACTGGGACTATCGGTGAGTCAACAGCGGGTCAAAGGAGTAGCAGAGATGACAGTTGCTCTTTAAAAATTATGATTTAAATCGAGTTGATTTAAATCAAGCCTTTTTACTAGTGATTTAAATCGTGATTTAAATCGTGATTTAAATCATGATTTAAATCGTGATTTAAATCAACTCGATTTAAATCAAATCCACCCTGCTCCAAGCCAAGCCCAACAAGCCACACCCACAGAACCGGTAGCAAAAAATTTTGCATTTCGCCAGTGCATCAGATGTTTGGATCTGAAACTTACAGAGCTGCCATCATAGCTTCTTTTTCCGCCTGCCGGATGGCGCTCAGCTCCTCATTGCGGGACATAGATGCATCGCCTTTCTTCTCCTTGGCATACCAGGTAAGGTCCTTGCCCTTTTGCCAACGGCCCACCGGTGCCATCAAGGAGTTCCCTGAAAGGCAAGTAAAAAAAGGACTCACAAGTCAGAGCAGTTAAAGAATCACAGAAGGATCTGGGTGGCAGAGCTCTTAGTCTTTCCAAATAATTTCTTTCTTTTTTAAAAAAAACTTTATTAAACGTATAAAAAGTAAAATATTATACCATGTATATACAAGATACATATATGTCGACAGTGGTCAACAGTGTTGTTGTATTCTGATTGGCTGATGACGTAGCTGTATTTTGATTGGGTGGAAGCGCTGATGCTTGGTTGTGGGTCAATGGATAAGTTATGCTGGAACTGGTGGCAACACAAGCATTTTGATGAACCTTTGATCTATGGTTTATATTTTGTGTTAAGATTCGTCTGTCTATGAGAGCAGGTTTCCAAATAGTAGCAGACGGGAAGTGTCATCACGTTTATTCATACAATATGGTCTTTTCTCTATTTCAATGGCCTCTCTGATTATTCTGCCATTGAGATGTTCTATTTTTGCCACTGTTTTTGTGTTATTAAAATTAATATTATGTCCTGTGGCATTTATGTGTTGTACTAATGATGATGTGTGTTCTTTCTTTTGTACTGAATTTTTTATGTTCCTCGATGTGCACACTCATTCTTCTGTTGGTCTGTCCAATATATGTTGAGGGGCAGGAAGCACACGGGATTTCGTATATGCCTTGATCTTCTAATTCTATTTTGTCTTTAGGGTTTCTCAGAATAGACGATATCTTTCTATCTGTGCAAAATATGGTTTTGATGTTGTGTCTATGCAAAAAATTAGCAAAGTACTGCCTGGTGTTGCCACCAGTTCCAGCATAACTTATCCATTGACCCACAACCAAGCGACAGCGCTTCCACCCAATCAAAATACAGCTACGTCATCAGCCAATCAGAATACAACAACACTGTCGACCAATCAGAATACACTTTTGCCTCTTTTCATAGAAAAACGTCAGTTACGATCACACAGTTTGCCCATAAGCACCAAACCGAGATCATCAGCCAGAAGATGACGAATACGATTTCGTCGAAACGTCGCTACTACCCTTCTAAGGATATGTTTACAATTACACGGGAAGAAGCCCGAGATATTAACTGTACACACATATATACCCGTGAAAACTTACATAGACAAGATACATATATATATGAATACAAACAACAATACATAAAAAGAAAAATTGACTTTGGTCACACGTCCATTATCTTATTAACGGTGCATATTTGTTAACAATGTCGACTGGCGACCCCCAGGGGGAGAGCCTTCTCTGTGGGGGCTCCTGCCCTATGGAATGAATTCCCCCCGGACATACGAAGTATCCCCGACTTCCGCGCCTTCCGTCGAGCTCTGAAGACTCTATTCTTTCAGCAAGCCGGTCTGACGGGATAAAGGATTTTAAACTGGGTTTTAAAAGTGGTTTAAAATGGTTTTAATTGGAAGTTTTAATTTTGGCCAAAGATTGAATTGTTTTAATATGTTTTTTTTAATTTTGTCTTGTATGTTGTTTTATCATGGCTGTTCACCGCCCTGAGTCCTTCGGGAGAAGGGCGGTATACAAATATAATAAAAACTAAAAAAAAAAAAACTAAATTATTATCGTACAGAATTTTACATTTACTCTCGTTTCTACGAGTTATCCAATCATACCACCTATTCCACGCTCTATAACATTTTGAGACTACCTTATCCTTCATTTCAAATGTTAGTTTGTCCATTTCCGCACAGTTATAGATTTTTTTGGATTATCAATTCATCTGTTGGCAGTTGATTAGCTTTTCAATATTGGGCGAGCTCCAATCTGGCTGCAGTGACTATGTGTAATATTAAATACTTTTATTTCTTTCCTATAGTTTTCTTTAATCATCCCTAGTAGAAAAATCTCTGGTTCTATTTTTTCCGATGTTATTTTTTATTTCCAAAGAATTTCTAACTGGGTGGCAGAGCTGGGAAATACCTAAGGGAGCCCTCGGTGTTGTTTTCTTGTAGACATCTCATGACCCAACTAGGGAACATTATCTGTGCCAGTAGGAAGTGCGGGTTGGGAAGGGGAAAAGGGTTAAAGTTGCCAACATTGGAAAAGACTGCTGGAGAGGCCGGCTGGGGAATTCTGGGAGTTGAAGTCCAAGCATATGCTAGATAAGCATTGGCGAACCTTTTCGGCACCAAGTGCTGAAACGGGAGCGTGTGCGTGGATGGATGCTGGAAACCGGACCTTTCGGTTTCTGGCGGCCATGCACGTGTGAAGACCAGCTGGCTGGTGCAAATGCGCGTGTCGGGAAAATGATCTTCTGGTTGTTGTGGCCCCGCCCTCTGAGCCTGTCCCATCGGAGGAAGAAAGCTCCGAGCATGAGGATGAGGAGTCAGCCAGGCCTCCCTCTCCAGGCCCCTCCCCTCTGGCACTGTCTCAGGTGCCGGCCGAGGGAGAGGAGATTAGCAGGGAGCCAGGTGTCTCGGATGAGAGCGAAGGAGAGACATCATTCCTGGACGCACGCCTCCGAAGGCGTGATAAACGATTACAGCAGCTCAGGAGGCGTGCTAGGGATTAGAATTGAGTCACTGGACCACACCCCAGAGACTATATAATAGAGGGTGGTGGCCAGTGATCCTTGTGACGAACAAAAGTAAACCTTGGATAGTCACTAAAGCCTCATCCGAAACTGCTGAGAGGAATAATAATTCTGTTGGACTCTTGTACGCTGAGTATATTATCTTTCTGTTTTCTGTGGAAATAAAAGCACTTGGCAGACGGTGTGTATATCGCTGCCAAGTTGGAGATAAAGACCTGGGTGTGTTCCAAGTGCTTCCTTAACCCTCGGCTGGCTGTGTTTGTGTGTGTGTGTGGACGGGGACAGATCACTGGTTAACGGCATGTACCTGACCACTGGCCACCTGATATTTCAGTTTCTGGCACTCATGCACATGCGAAGAGGAGCTGGCTGGCACGCCAGAACTCAGAAGTGTAACTGGTGACGGCTTGCGTGCCAGGAGAGATGGCTCTGCGTGTCACTTCTGGCACGCGTGCCATAGGTTTGCCATCTCAGTGCTAGATGGACAATTTTAGCAGCTGAAGGCTACACTGCTTAAAGCATGCAGACTAGGGAATTCTGGGAGTTGAAGCCCACCCCTCTTAAAGCATGCCAGCTGGGGGATTCTGGGAGTTGAAGTCCTCCCCTTTTAAAGTTTCCAAAATTGAAAACCAGTGACATAGTAAATCAAACATGGCTCCACTGTTTCAATCTAATTTAGCAAGCTGACAATTGGAGAGATTTGAGCCCAGCAGTTCTGCTCTTTAAATAGATGTGGAGTCAGTTCACGGGAGCGGATTAAACAAACCATGAATCTAGAAAGGCTAACCAAGATAGTTTTCACGTTGTTTGTCCGTCTTCACATCTTCCCATTTGAACTGGTCCTGCCCTCCTCTCACGCCACCTCGGGAGGAGCCAAACATGGTGGAGGCTTAACCAGGATCTAAAAAAAGAAGACAGTTTAAAGTAGGTTAAATTCCAGTCTAGTCACAAGTTCTGTGGATTTCTGTGAAGCTAGCGTAAATTGGCTTATTGCATTCATGATTTGCCCAAGGAAGACCAGTGTTGTGCATGTAGTCCTCAACTTATGACCACAATGTAGCCCAAAATTTTTATGGGTAAGCAAGTTAAGGGAGTTTTGTCCCATTTTACAACCTTTCTTGCCATAGTTGTTAAATGAATCAGAGCTAAGTTAGTCACATAGTTGTTAAGAGAATCTGCCTCCTCGTTGACTTTGCTCGTCAGAAAAGGCGATAACATAACGCAGGGACACTGCGACTGTCATAAATAGGAGCTAATTGCCAAGGATTTTGGTCACGTGACCGCAGGTCTGCTACAACGGTTGTTAAGTGTGAAAAGCAGTCGTAAGTCACTTTTTTCAGTGTCACCGTAACTTTGGTCACTAAACAAAAGGTTGCAAGTCGAGGATTATGGGTTCCATCATGGTTTGAAGCATTTGTGATCTCAAATGTGGTATCAGTCCACATTTTAGAAGGGGGGAAAAAAAACCAGTCAAAAGATGATGTCATAGGCCACTGTTCTCAATCTTGGCTAGTTTAAGAGCTGTGGACTACAATTCCCAGAATTCCTGGCTGGGGAATTCTGGGAGTTGAAGTCCACACATCTTTAGCTGAGGTTTAAAAACAATGCAATAAAAGTGCTAATGAGAAGTGGAGGCGCCAGAATAATGCCAACCCCCCCCACCATGACCCTCCGGCCCCCCCCTTCCTCAACCTCATCCCAAAAGCGGAAAAGGGTGCAATTCTGCCAGCTGAGCCCCCACAGAGGGAGTCCTACACTGGACCTTAGGAACCCCTTGATCCGTGCCAGTCGGGCTTCAGGGCGGGTTACAGCACGGAAACGGCATTGATCGCCGGTTGATGATCTCTGGAGGGCCCAGGACAGTGGTTGCTCCTCTGTTCTGGTCCTCCTAGACCTCTCAGCGGCTTTTGATACCATCGATCATGGCATCATGCTGCGTCGGCTGGAGGGGATGGGAGTGGGGGCACCATGCTATGGTGGTTCTCCTCCTTCCTCTCTGACTGTACGCAATCTGTGTTGACAGGGTGGGCAGAGGTCGACCTCGAGGTTCCTCACTTGTGGGGTGCCGCAAGGGTCGGTCCTCTCGCCCCTCCTGTTCAACATTTATGTGAAGCCGCTGGACGAGATCATCCGTGGCTTTGGGGTGAAGTGTCAACTGTATGCCGAGGACACGCAGTTCTATATTTCAACCCCAAGCCACCCCAATTATGCCCCTGACATGATGTCCCGCTGCCTGGAGGCCGTGCGGATCTGGATGGGGAGGAACAGGCTCAGACTGAACCCTTCCAAGAATGAGTGGCTGTGGCTCCCGACGGCCCAGTATAGCCAGCTCACACCATCGCTGGCTATTGGGGGTGAGATCTTGCCCCCCTCAGAGAGGGCTTGCAACTTGGGCGTCCTCCTGGATTCACGGCTGTCCTTGGAGGATCATATGACGGCCGTGGCCAGGGGGGCCTTTTATCAGGTCCGCCTGATCTCCCAGTTGCGTCCCTTTCTGGATCGGGACGCCCTGCGCACAGTCACTCACGCCCTCGTCACTTCCCGTCTGGACTACTGCAATGCTCTCTACATGGGGCTCCCCTTGAGGAGCACCCGGAGGCTCCAGCTGGTCCAGAATGTGGCCGCGTGGGTGGTTATGGGGGCGTCTCATCGCTCCCATGTAACACCCTTCTTGCGCGAGCTGCACTGGCTCCCGTTGGTCTTCCGGGTGCGCTTCAAGGTGTTGGTTACCATCTTTAAAGCGCTCCATGGCTTAGGACCTGGTTATCTACAGGACTGCATTCTGCCACAGATTGCCTCCCACCGACCGGTACGAACTGCCCCCGGACATACGAAGGATCCCCAACCTCCGCACCTTCCGTCGTGCTCTGAAGACCCTATTATTCCAGCAAGCCGCTCTGACGGGATAAAGGATTTTAATTTTTTTTTTAAATTAGATTTATATGCCGCCCTTCTCCGGAGACTCAGGGTGGCTTACAATGCGTTAAGCAATAGCCTTCATACTTTTGTATATTTATACAAAGTCAGTTTATTGTCCCCACAATCCGGGTCCTCATTTTACCCACCTTAGAAAGGATGGAAGGCTGAGTCAACCTTGAGCCTTGGAGAGATTCGAACCTGCAATAATTGCAGACAGTTGAATGTTAATAACAGGCTTTTAGTCTGTTGAGCTATCCAGGCTCCTATCAAATTGGGTTTTGATAGGGGTTTTAAAATGATTTTAGTTGGGTGTTTTAAATTCGGCCAATGATTGAATTATTTTAATTAAGTTTTTTAAATTGTTGTTGTATATTGTTTTTACCAGGGCTGTTCACCGCCCTGAGTCCTTCGGGAGAAGGGCGGTATATAAATATAATAAACTAAAACTAAACTAAACTTGAATCTTCAGTGCATGCGACCCCCCCCCTCTCCCAATGCCTAATTCTAGCTGGGACGGACCCCACCCGGCTGTGGACGATGGGATTTCACTCTCCCCCGTTTGCAGACCTCAGGGCTGGTGCATGGGCTCCCCACCGCAATGCAAAGGAGAAAAGGGGTGCATTGCAAGGAGTCCGCTATTTTAAGGGGAGCCCCAGCCCTGGAAAGGACGAGAAACCCACCACCACCCCGCAAAGACCACCCACCCGCCAGTCCAACCGAGCCCAGCAACCTTAACTGCAGCTTCACGTGCAAAATCCAGCAGTCGCTTCCGCAAGCTTGGGCGGGACCATTCGTTCCTGTAGTGGGGGGGGACGACGAAGCGGGCTGGACCAATCGGCTCAAGGAGCGCGGATATGGGGGGGGGATGGAAGCAGAGAAAATTGCTAATTGAATGACCCGCCTCCGCTCAGCTTTGAAAGTTTTCAATTTGTGTGTGTTTTTTTTTAAAGTGGGCTTTGAAGGGAGAAATAAACTTACTAAGCAATGCATATTTTTTTTTTTTTTTGCACCCAACTCCGGAGTAATTTTTCCAGCCACTTGGGGTGGGGGTGGGGGAGATTAGTAGCGGCTGGGGATGTTGGGCTTTGTAGTCCCCGGCGTGCACACGTCCCCGGGGCGCCGTCGGGTTTAGTTGGGAACGGTTGTTGTTGCAGAATGCCCAGCCAGATGGGCATTTGCCATTGGTGCTTGTGGGGTTAGTACTCCAACTCCCATGATCCTCAGCCGGCTGTGGATGATGGTTGCAGAAATCCAAGTAGTGTCGTTTCCTGCTTTGTCCCAGGAAGAAAAAAAAGGGTGTTTCTGGGTGCATTGGGATGGAGGTCGCTTCTCCCCACTCCCATCCCCAAAATATGACTACAATGTCCACCTTCCTTAGCCGACTAAGATGTTAATAGTCCCAAACCATGATAAAAGCTAATTTAGGCACTTGTAAAGAGAGAAGACCCTGAATGGTACAGCAGATATGGAGTTTGTTGGTTTATCTTCTCACCTGAATACAGCCCTGCGAGGTAAGCCACGGACATTATTAAGTCTCCCAAACTTAATGTGAGAACTTGTATCGCTCTCTAAAAATGTTTGAAAATATCCTACATTTAGGTAGTGAATATAGGTTCAGCTACATCAGGGTTTTTCAAACATGGCCCCTTTAAGAGATGTGGACTTCAATTCCCCAAATTCTCCAGCTGGCATGCATCTTAACATGAACAATGTTAAGAAACTCTAGTCTTTTTTTTTTTACAAAAATTGTCATTGCTAAGCAAGACTTTTTTGGAAGTGAGTCGCATCCAATTTTATGACACTTTTTATGATTGTTAAGCAAATTATTGCAGTTGTTAAGTGAATCACACAGTCATTAAACAAATCCAGCTTCCTTTTGCGTTTTCAGAAGCCAGCTGGGAAGATGCAAATGGGGATCACAGACCCTAAGATGCAAAAACAAGCCAGCTGCCAAGGGTACAAATTTTAATATGTGACCATGGGGATGCTACAACAGTCATAACTGCGAGGACCAGTTGGAACTTACATTTTTTCGCACTGTTGTGACTTAAAACAGTCACAAAATGAATGATTGTAACTCAAGGATGACCTGTAAATTCTATTACAGATTTAAGACGCTAACTAGCCATATCACAAATGCCCTCCTCCTTCAAACAGATTAACATTTTCCCAAAAAATACAAACACAGCAATTACAAAGAAATCTCTTTATTTGAGGGTGGATTGTCATTCCTTGCACCTTCTATAACGTTCTAGTTACTTGCTGCCACAGAATTCTGGTTTTCTTACTGCCAAAAAACCCCCTCACTTTTTATTCCAAAATTTCTCATAATATTCCAGTTGAAAGTCGTCTTCAAAAGTTTCAACTTCTCCTTTCTTGGACTTCATCAAGTTCTTCCTCCTCAACCGGCTTCTCCTTTCGGCCTCGGGGAGGGTATTGAAATCCACGGGTATCTAAGTGGAAAAAAGACAAAAACAGATGGCTAGACTACTGCTACGGGAAACAGACCTGGGGCTGCCCTTGAAGACTATCCAATTCAATTTTCAACCCACTTATTAGCTGGGCTGTGTTGCTTTGAGTATCTTAGACCTGTATTGATAGGTTGAGTTCCAAAGGCTAGTTTTGACTATAAAAGACATTTATGAAGACAGATAGTCCTCGAGTTACGGCCACAATTGAGCCCCAAATTTTTGTTGCTAAGCAAGACAGTTAAGTGAGTTTAACCCCATTCTATGAACTTTCTTGCCATAAGTGAATCATATAGCTGTTATATGGTCGCTAAGTGAATCTGGCTTCCCCATTGACTGAAGGTTGCAAAAGGGGAGCACGTGCCCCTGGGACACTGAGACCGTCATAAATATGAGTCAGTTGCCAGGTGTCTGAACTATGATCACGGGACCATGGGGATGCTGCTAAGGTCATAAGTGTGAAAAACGGTCATAAGTCACCTTTTTCACTGCCATAACTTCAAATGGTCACTAAATGAATGGTTGTAAGTCAAGGACTATCTGTATTACTAAATTTTTAAGCAGCCATCTCTTGTATAAGGTGATGCAAGTTATAAAGGAGGTAGAAAAAAAACCCGTTTAGCTTGGTACACAGATTCCTGCAGGAATTCTGCCATGTTATGAGTTTGCGTGATATAGGTAATCCTCAATTTACGACCAAAACATAGTCCAAAATTTACATTGCTAAGTGAGAAATCTGTTAAGTGAGGTTCACCCCATTTTACAACTTTTCTTGCCACAGTTGTTAAATGAATCACTGCAGCCGTGAAGTTAGCAACACGGTTCTTAAATTACTTAACTTCTTCAATTGGTCACCCTTTGATCAGAGGGTGACCAAAGGGGAATCTCGTGACCCCAGGACACTACAACCGTCGTAAGTAGGAGTCAGTTGCCAAGCATCTGAATTTCGATCACATGACTGTGAGGCTGCTGCCACAGTCGTAAGTGTGAAAAATGGTCATTTTTTCAGTGCTATTGTAACAGTTTGTCACTAAACAAAACTGTTGTAAAATGAGGACTACCTGTATATTGCTTGTTGTGGGTGAATGTATCTGCAGTGAGAGTCCCACACAACCTCCAGCAGTTTACTTTCCCCTCTGTCAGTAAGAAGAAATAATAAAACAAGCCAAAAAAACTACTGCAAAACACTTATAGTCCTTGATTGACAACTGCCATTGAGCCCAGAATTGAGATCGTAAGTTATGCTGGCTTTTTAAGTGGTTCATCATATATCTGTCCCAATTTTGTGACTTTTTTGGGGTGGTCGTTAATCAAACCACCACGGCTGCTAAGCAACTCTGCAGTCGTTGAGCGAATCCGCTGTATGCAACGGGCCAGACAGGAACTCAGAAACAAGTCAAATGTGCAACATGGTTTACGGAGTCTTATTCGGTCTCTGCAAAGAAAGCCAGGAGGTTTAATTCTCACCTGAAGGACACGCCTCGGCTCTTTGTACCGGACATGTACCGAAGATCCGTCCAGTCTAACCAGTAGAACCGGATACAGCCGGGCGTACTTCGATCTTGGAAAGCAAGCGATGGACGTCCGATTCGAATTCAGCTGGTTGGGCGATGTGTGAAGCCCACAAGCCCTGAGAAGGCATCTGGACAGATTCTCGACCTGCAGGATGCTGAAACCAATTCAGGCGTATTTTAAAAGGTGTGAACCTCAACTCCCAGAATTCCACAATCAGCAGGCTTTAAGAGAGGTAGACTTCCACTCCCAGAATTCCCCAGCCAGCATGATTTAAGAGGGGTGGACTTCAACTCCCAGAATTCCTCAGTTAGTATGTTTTAACATGCTGACTTCAACTCCCAGAATTCCCCAGCCAGCATGCTTTAAGAGAGGTGGAACTTCAAGCCCCAGAATAACATAGGTAGTATGCTGGCTGGGATATTCTGGGACTTGAAATCCATCCATCTTAAAATTACCAAAATTGTAGTAGTTTTTCTTTTCTTTAAAATATCTTATTTCAAGATATAGTATACCCTTTTCAGAATACCACTGCTGTTCAGTTCTGGGATTGCAAGTCTACAGAATTTCTGTTAAAGCTATTCTGGGAACATCCTAAATACCTTAAACTCCTGCTTATAACTGCCATTCTGATGTGCAATGAGGCTTTAGGAATAGATCCTGATCAGGAATTCCTAAGAGGATTAAACTGCTTGGCTTTTTTTCAGAGCCATAATACGAGACGCTTGATAACTGGAAGAAGAGAAGAAAATAAATCTCGTTACAATCTTTGGATGTGTTATTTTGTGCCTCCAATGTTGGAAATAAAGTTTTAGAGGGGCTTTTCATCCCAAATACAGGTTAATGCATGGGTAGCATATGACTGAATGACTGAATGAATGCAAGAAATAAAAACTGCAAGTTTTGGTGGAGTTCATTCTCTGGAAGTATCTGCAACCTTGGGTTGTTTGTAAAATTGTGATTTGGGCATTGCTTATTTAAATTCCTTATTTGGGGAGCTTCTCGCTCCCCAATTTTCAATAGCCAACCACAAGACATGCTAAGGGAAAAAAAATAAATACACGACCTGCTAAAATTAACCAGCTTAAAGTAGAATAATTTAAAACAGCTTTGGTGGCTCTGAAATATTGCACCAAACTCTGAAAAGTAGAAAAAAGGCTTTTAATATTGCTAGCAAGGATAGAAAATGTAGGCTTTGGCAGAGGAAAATGCAAAAGAAATGCAGGTAGCCCTCAATTTACGACCACAACTGAGCCAAAGATTTCTGTTGCTAAGCGAAACATTTGTTAAGTGGGTTTTGCCTCCTTTTACCACTTTTCTTGCCACACTGAATCACTGCAGTTGTTAAGTTAGGAACTCAGTTGTTAAGTGAATCTGGCTTCCCCATTGACTTTGTTTATCAGAAGGTTGCAAAAGAGGATCACATGACTCGGGGACACTGCAACCGTCATAAATATGAGTCAGTCGCCAAGGGTCTGAATTTTGATCATGTGACCACGGGGAGGCTGCTATGGTCATTGTGTGAAAAACGGTCATGTCACTTTTTTTCCAGTGCTGTTGTATCTTTGGAGGGTCACTAAGTGAACTGTTGTTAAGTCGAGGACTACCTGTAAATGGCAGTGGGTTCCAAGGTACACTGCCATGAAATCTGGAGGCTCTATAAGGCTGTCAGTCTCTCTATAGAGATCTCCAAACTTAGTAACTTTTAAGATTTGTGGAAAACTCCCAGAATTCCCTAGCCAGCATAGCTGGCTGAGGAATTCTGGGAGTTGAAGTCCACAAATCCTAATATTGCCAGGTTTGGAGACTCCCCACTCTATATGAAGATGCTCTACTACAGGGGTCTCCAATCTTGGCAACTTTAAGCCTGAAGGACTTCAACTCCCAGAATTCCCCAGCCAGCTGGGTGGGGAATTCTGGGAGTTGAAGTCCTTCAGGCTTAAAGTTGCCAAGGTTGGAGACCCCTGCTCTATTATATACCCTCACCCCCTTCCTCACTTGGTAAAGCAGGGGCATTTTCATGCCCTGGACTACAGGTCCCATCATGCCCTCCCCTGGCTGATGGGAGTTGTAGTCCAAACCAACCAAGCCAAGGTTAAGCCAATCGTGGTTTATTGGGGCTTCTTTTTGCTTTGCATCCAACTCATGCTATTTTCCCATCCCCGGAATGAATTGCCTCCCAGGTCCACGTCCTTTCCGCCACCCGTTCCCCGCAATGGTTTGATCCTAACCTCCCCCTATTTGCACTTGCCGGTGGTTCGATCCTTGCTTTCCCACGCTGCGAATACCCGCGGCCCGCTTCTTCTCTTCCCCTTCCTCCAGAATGGTTCAATCTATCGCTGCCCTCCCCTCGTCCCTGTGCCGAATGGTTTAACCCGGAACGGCCGCAGGTAGGTTCATCTACGCATGTGATTCCTGGCTGGCTCCGCCAGGCACTTTTTACGTCGTCATCTGCGCCTGTGACGTCATCCTTCGGCGCCGCTCTCCCAGTCTGCCTTTCGTCGGGGCCGGAACGTACAGTGCTCCCGGATACGGGGAGGAGCTTCCCTGGGGCGGCGGAGCCCGGTCATGGCCCGCCCCATCTCTCTGAGTCATCCTTCTTGGACGCGGCTCCGGTTTGGCTCCTCATGCGTTGGCGGCATTTCTTGTGCGCTGCAGTTTCAGGTGAGTGCAACAGCTTCGGGGTTCCCCCACGCCCCATTTCGCCTTTGCGGTGTGCTGCGGAAATGTGCCCCCCCGGATCCCGCACTGCTTCGCGTTGGTTCCACCATAGTGATGGCGCTCTGCGTTGCCTTCCTTTTGCTTTCTTCTTCTTTATGGCCGGGAGTGATGGGCCTCGTGGTCGTCCCGGCGCAAGTGGGGATACGGCACTGTTTTTTTTTTTTTTTAGATGCACAGGATAACCAATGCATTAATTGGAAGAATGACTCTTTGAAAGGGACCATTGGGCTACCTCTGAGGTCATCCAGTCCAACCCCTATTCCATGGATGAATCCACATCAGAGCATCCCATAGAGAACCGCTATGGACACAGTGACTGAAATAGAGGGTTTCTTCCCGCCCTCTAGGGTTCAGTGAGAACATTAGAAGGGGTCCCTTAGAGGTCATCTAGTCTGACCCCAGCTAAGTCCAGGATTCCCTGGAGCATTTCTAACAGCTGACCAGAGAAGGGCCAGTTTTTTCTCCTCAAGTCCTTGATTTATGATCCCCAATGGTGCCCAAAATTTCTGTTGCTAAGCAAGGCAGCAAGACATCCGATTTTTTAGGTTATAGTTCCCATCGCCTCCAGGCATCAGATGTTGGATACTCACTTTATAAATAAAATCATCATCCGGAATCATTTCCTTTGATGACAAACGGCTGCGTTCTCAATTTTATTTTATTTATTAACATGTTTATATGTGGGGGTCCTTCGTGCTCTCTGAGCTTGGTTTGGTTTTTTGCAGACGTTTCATGACCAAACTAGATAACGTCATCAGTGCTGCCAGATTATCCCCACTCTCTTTTAGCACTGATGATGTCCCGTAGTTGGGTTATGAAATGTCTACAAGAAAACCACTAAGCTCAGAGACCATCAAGGACCCCAGAGTCGTCCCCCCACTTCCTCCTCCTCCTCTTCCTCCTCCTCCTCCTCCTCCACCACGCACTGATGATGTTACCTAATTGGGTCATAAAATTTCTGGAAGAAAACCATCACCCATCAAAGCATATCAAATACCCCACAGTTCAACCTTGAAGTACAAATATTCTCTTCTATCAGTACAAATTTATATGCTCGCCCAACTCACACATAGCTGACTCTGAGGGGCTGACAACATTAAAATTTTGAGGCACACCGAGCTACCATAATCATCAAAAATAATTACTGCTATAATTCTGTTAGTTTCTCTCTGCAAGTAGGATGGGACTACAGGTCATCCTCAAATAACAGTTCATTTAGTGACCGTTTGAAGTTACAAAAAGTGACTTATGACTTTGTATAAAAAGAGCACCGCTTAGAGGGGGCCGAAAGCCCCACTTAGCAGGTATATACAAAAGTATGAAGGCTATTGCTTAACACATTGTAAGCCGCCCTGAATCTCTGTAGAAGGGCGGCATATAAATCGAACCAATAAATAAATAAATAAATAAATTTCTCACACTTACAACCTTTGCAGCATCCCCAGGGCCACATCCAAATTCAGACGTTTGGCAACTGACTCATAGTTATGACGGTTGCAGTGTCCTGGGGTCATGTGATCCCTTTTTGTGACCTTCTGATGAGCAAAGCCAATGGGAAAAACCAGATTCGCTTAACAACGGTTTAACTAACTCAACAACTGCAATGATTCACTTAACAACTGTGGCAAGAAATGTTGTAAAATGGGACAAAACTCACTTAACAAATGTCTCACTTAGGAACAGAAATGTTTGGGCTCAATTGTGTTCGTAAATCGAGGACTATGTATATAAATTCTCAGGGCCGAAATGACAATTACTTGGAATTCTTTAACTCAGTGAAATTTTATACTCTGATTAGAATAAAATCCGAATGATAATCAGTTCCAAGAATCCAGAAAGGATGGTGAAAAACAGATATATTAAAAAACTTCAATATTCTGAAATCAGTTCTGATGACTATTTAGGATTATGAAGATTTTTTTTTAATTGAAAAACTTATTTTCGGAGAGATGAATGGAAGTTTAGAAGCTAAGGGCAGATGCCAGATTAAATACAATGAAGCGTCTTATATGTCCTTTTGGCAACTATTAAAGCTATGCTACAGCTGTCCATTAATTTACAGGATGACAAGCAACTGAAGCAGGAAATATCTAATTATTGCTGCTTTTGCTGGGAAGCACATGTGCTGTGCTGTTTCCTGTTCATGGATTTTATGCATGGCTTATAATGCATAAACAGCCTTTGAAAGCAGGGTGAATTTCCCAGTAATTTATATAATTTACCTATTCCTTTAGTGAACCTCTGTGCCATAAAATCATAATTGAATTCCAGCTGCTTTCAACAGAATCAATGAGATAAAAGCACGTCAGAACAAGAAAGCTGCAAGAAACAAAACACGGTGTAAATTAATAAATTAAAATACAGGTAATCCTCAACTTATAACAGTTTGTTTAGTGCCCATTCAAAGTGATAGTGGCACTGAACAAAGAAACTGATGATTGTTTCTCACACTTATGACCATTGCAGCATCCCCCTAGTCAGAGCTGGATGCCACATAACAAAACCAGTTCGCCCAGTACTGAAAATGTGAGTGCATGTGCACAGCTTCCCTCCCTCCCTCCCTCCCTCTCTTTCCAGCATGAGTCCGTTTAATGATTTTATATTTTATTTTTTTTCTGTATTCTGCCTTTTATTATTTTCACAAATACCTCAAGGTGGCAAACATACGGGTAATTAATATACCTTCCATCTCTTATTTTACCCACAACAATAACCCTGGTGAGGCAGGTTGGGCTGAGAGAGAGGGATCAAAACAAGGTCACCCAGCCTGTTTTCATACCTAAGGCGGGACTAGAACTCACTGTCACCTGGTGATTGGCTCAAAGTCACCCAGATGGCTTTCATTCGTAGGATGGGACTAGAACTCCCAGGCTCCTGGTGAATTGGCTCAAAGCCACCCAGCCTGTTTTCATACCTAAGGCGGGACTAGAACTCACCATCACCTGGTGATTGGCCCAAAGTCACCCAGTTGGCTTTCATTCGTAGGATGGGACTAGAACTCCCAGGCTCCTGGTGATTGGCCCAAAGCCACCCAGCCTGTTTTCATACCTAAGGCGGGACTAGAACTCACCATCACCTGGTGATTGGCCCAAAGTCACCCAGTTGGCTTTCATTCGTAGGATGGGACTAGAACTCCCAGGCTCCTGGTGATTGGCCCAAAGCCACCCAGCCTGTTTTCATACTTAAAGTGGGACTAGAACTCACCGTCACCTGGTGATTGGCTCAAAGTCACCCAGGTGGCTTTCTTACCTCAGGCAGGACTAGAACTCACTATCTCCCATTTTTTAGCCTGATGCCTTGATCACTGGTCCAAACCAGCACTAAACCCTAATCACCAGACCAAACAGTGTATAAACTGCATCCTTTTTGAGCCAATTCCTCCTTTGCCCTTCACTTTATACCTATTACCAGTCTGAAAGGAAGAGAACAAATTTCTGTAACAACCGTGACCTGGTTTGCAAATTTGGCCACCAAATTATTCTCCTTGATCTTAATTTAACGACTTATACACCCTTTTTTTTTTTTTGGCTGTCCTTGGAGTAGCCATTGTAAACGGTTTTAGATTAAAGCAGTCTATAAATAGGAAATAAGATTAGCTTAATTGGGAAAGGTTTTTTTTTTATAGGCTTCCTAATCATCTTTTCTTCGGAAGCCAAATGTTTTTCCTTGCCTGTCAAGACAGTCTTTGCTGGAAGCTGGCCTCAATATGGGCCAAATTTTTATTTATTCAATTTTAAATTGTTTTAAATTTTGTATATTTATATGTGTTTTAATATGGCTGTAATATGGCTCGGGAGAAGGGCGATATAGAAATCTACTAAATCCTAAATCCTAAATCAATAGACAGTTTCCCCCGCAGGGTGGATTTTATTCCTTGCTTCTGCAAATATCCCTGAGGATGTTTCGTTTAGAACCGTGGCCTTTCTGCGGCCGACGGCTGCATTTTAATCCGATGCACCACGTGGTCGAAACTCATGGGCCTGTCAGTCACGGGGAAAGGGAAAGAATCCAGGGAGTCCTTGAATTACGACCACAATGGAGCCCAAAATCTCCGTTGCTAAGCAAGAAAATGGTTAAGTGAGTTTTGCCCCATTTTGCGACCTTTCTTGCCATAGTTATTAAGTGAGTGACAGCAGCTGTTAAGTTAGTACAGGTAGTCCTCGACTTACAAAGTTCATTTAGTGACCAAAGTTACAATGGCACTGAAAAGAGTGACTTATGACCTCTTTTCACACTTAACGACCGTTGCAGATATTTCCCGTGGTCACGTGATCAAAATTCAGGCAACTGACTCATATTTATGACGGTCGCAGTGTCCTTGAGGTCATGTGACCCCCTTCTATGACAACCAAGTCAACGGGAAAGCCATTTCACTTAACAACCGTCTGACTAACTTAACTGCAGCGATTCACTTAACAACTGTGGCAAGAGGTTCCTTAAAATTGGGCGAAACTCACAATGACTGTCTCACTTAACGGCAGAAATGTTTAGGCTCAATTGTCGTAAGTCGAGGACTACCTGTTCTTCACCAGTGCCACCTATAGAAGCCTCTTTTTTTAATTAAATTCCCCATTCTAAATTAAGAGGCGTGGGTTTTTTGGGAGGGTTTTCCTGCCAATGCTAATCAGGATTCTTCCAAGTTAGCTTTTTTTGGGATCGTTCAAGATTTGTTAG